GAACCCCAGACAGGACCATGGTCCAGAGCACCAGCATTTTGCAAATTCTGGAGGAATGTCAGCTTTGATGGCACAAGCACACTTGTGAGACATTTGGTTTGCTTTCCTGTAGCAAGTTTGGCGTTCACATGCTGGCGTTTTTCACTTCTGATTCAACATGTTTGTCCGAGAAGCGATTTGCCTGTGTGACAGCTTGCTTGGTGTGCTTTTTTGGCCTGGAGGAACGGCTTTTTGAATTCTTACCCACACAATTCCGTTGCAACTCAATGTCGATCAAAATAGACACAACAGGAAAGGGTCACCAGAATGTTTGTTTGGGTTTACATCAGCTCCAATGAGTGAAGACATCAGCAAAAGTGTGATGCAGGTTTCCCAGAAATTCAACCACCTAATCGAGAATGTATTCAAAATGGCCTGCTTTGTTGGGGGACAAAATCACTTTCAATCACGCATGGATATGTATCATGTGTCAAAATGCGGGGATCCCCCAAACAAATTGGTGGGTTTCCTTATCTGATTTCCCAAAAGGTGCTACCCCTAAAAAAGGGCAGCGAGTCTCAAGAAAAGACAATCCACCCACAAAGGCCATTGATTCGTCCTGTAGTCCCAGTTCCAACCTCTCCCGTCGCTTTGAGGCTGCGAGGATTCCGAGCTGCCTGAAGACTTCTTGGGCGTGGTGCGCATCGAGGGCTTGGACCGAGCGCATGCAACCCTTGGGTGTCTTCTTTTGAGGGCGCCATTTTTGGTCGGTTTTAAACAAACCAAAAGGAAAGGACGTACCTTTTGGGGTAACTAAGAAACACACACACGCACACACCTGCTGGTGAACAAAAGAGGATTCTAAGATTCCGATGTTTCGGATTGACTTCGAGGATGCGCAGTTCTGCAAGTTTGGTGCAGGACCTGCTGCAAGGGCGCCCCGTGTCTGGCGGGACAGTTGATGGTCCGCTTTCCTAGCCGGGCAGAGTCGAATTTGGGGCTGTCGAAACCCCAACAGTTAATCTGCGCTAGACATATTTGGACTGGCCAAGGCGCAAGCATCGCGATTGCAATGGGACATCTCTTTGACAAAATGGTGCATTGGCCACTCAGCTTGTGTCACAAGATGATGATTGCCCCAACCTGACCCCACGACTCTTAAAGTCCTTCCTCTTCCCGTGCTTCACCAGGTGCACCGGCAAGAAAGGTGGATGACCGGCCAACGAGCGCCCTGGCTGCTCGCAGGTTCGAGGGGGCAAGAACACACCGCTTGATGTTCTGGCAACAAGGGTCATGTTTTTGCTTGAGGGTAACCCTTTTTGGGCTGTTTTAAAGGAAAGCAAAGACAGACCCATCAACGGTCTGAGAATTAACACCCAAGTTGTAGGTCCCGCCTGGCGCCGGCGCCTTCGCCTATGCTGCAGACGTCAGGCCACGGCTTTTGGGCCTGTTTGGGCCAAGTCAATAGCCAAGTCGGGTAAAGCCGTTTCTTCAAGTGGATCTGCCGGTTGCAAGCAAACAAGGGGCAACAAGGGGCAACAAGGGGCAACAAGGGGCAACAAGGGGCAACAAGGGGCAGCACAAAAGCCAGACAAGAACAATACGTATGCGATACTGTATGCGATATGTTAGAAGCGACGGAGAAGTAATGTAACCAATTCACAGGCAGTTTTGATTGCTTCAACGCTTGCTTCCCCTGCAAAACTTCATGCCGGCATGTTTTGTTGGACGCATTTATATTTGTGCAGGCATGCACTCGGCAAAGATGCCGTTTCTCTCGAGGAGTCGCAGAGTCGCCGTATCATTGCTTTTTGGGCTTTCTCTTTCTCATTATATAGTTTTTTTGGCGCATTCAAGGAACACATGGCAGGAGAACTGGGCTGTATCCTCAGTGGCATAGGTCTGAAGGCCTGGGGTTTGGCACATGCAGAGCTCTCCGATGGCCGTCTAGAAAGGGCCTAGCGGTAAGCATGGCAGGGCCTGGCAGGGAGAAGTGAGAAGTCCCCCACAAAAGTCCAGCTTGAACAAAGCCATCGGGTCCAGCCAGGCGCCGGAGCAGCGTGCGTGATAGAGCAAAAAGTCCGCGGGTGGAGCCTACAAGGCAGTTTCTGATTCGTTGGCCAGAAGAACGGAAGGAATAAACAAGAAAGACCAAGAATGTTCAGAATAGCTTGGAAGGAAGGCTGGGCAAAGCTGGCCCAGCAACCATTGTCATGCGGGAAGCGTGTTTCGTGAAGAGAGCAGGCCTTTTGAGGCATGATGAATGGACGACCTAGCGTGTTACAGAGCGCACATCACAGACAGCCTGAGTCTTTCTCCGGACAATCCGCATTTTGCGGATGGCTGCTGGCGTGGCCCGTTTGCTTGTTACGGCAACCGCAGTGAATGATGGATGTTTGAACCAACCACCACATATAAAGTCTTAACGTGGTATTCGAAAGAATGGAATAAATGAAATGCCGCAGACGTTTCTCAAAATCGGTCTGGCTTAAATGAGTTGCCTGGCCAGCTGCGCCTTGCCTTAGTGACCCACAGGATGCTTGATCCTTGTGTAAGACACTTGTTAGGAGCTGATTCTCAGTGTTAGTGTTGGGGATCTTTTCCAGCACAAGAGCATGAATTGACACGCAAGACCCACACCGAGGATCAAAGCCTCCTAGAAGTTGGATGCCATCTTATGCCTTGCATGCAAGCCACCTGGCTCAAACTTACGACGTTCAGGATCTGTCTCGGCAGCGTGGTTGCACTTGGGCACGGTTGTTCGGATTCTTGCCCTTCGAGATAGATGAGGAAAGGATCAGCCCTATGAATCTATCTATTGTGTTACTCTTTGTCTTAGCACATTGCATGCATTCACAAACTCTTAAACACGGAATATCCCATTTGGAGAAAGTCCTACACCCGCGGGGAAGATCCACAAGGTTTACAAATCTGGGCTCACTACAAGACTTGCATTGATTGCTGTTGTGGACCTTTTTTGATCTTTGTTCTGAGCAGGTTCTGTTTTTGGGTGTCCCATCTGGCCAGTGACGTGAGTCCAACTTTTGGTTTGAAATTTGAGAGCTTGGCTACAATGGTGTTTGTATCGAAATGGAACGTACAATGATCAGACGCAGAGTACTGTAGTTCCATGATTGTTGCCCGTGCTGTGAGCTACATTGCACGTTTTTTCTGCACAGGGCAAGTTGCACCCAAAGGCAAGTGTCCGCTGGTTTTCAGACCCAGCGGTCTGATATTGAGTCCTGCAGTCATTGCACTTGCAATATTTTTGTCCTTGGCAACATTGCAAGCAAGTGACAGAGTTTCTAGCGAGGACAGTGTTAGTTTTGACATTTACAAGCATTACAAGCATTGATTTGATCAGACAGGACGGACATAAATGAAATTGCAGTTTTTGCAGAATTCGGCTTGGGCGATTTGCCTGCCATGTCTCACAGCGACCTGGCCTTCAGGTGGATGGATCCGGCTTGTTGGCTCCACGGATGCCATTTGGATGCGCGTGGCCATAAACCAAAAGCTTGGCGGCCAGCCTTAGGCACGTGTCTCGCATTTTGAGTTCAGAGACGCGACGGATTGCACATTGCCAGGTTTAGTGACAAGTCCTTTTTGCCCTTCGGTTTTCCTTTCTTTTTCCAGAACAGAGACTGTAGCAGTGAAAATTGTGTTCTTTCCCGTTGGTTTTGAGGGATTGTGTACAATATGTTTCGTTTGTATTGCATTCCAGTGATTCCGTTGGATCAATCCTGCCCAAAACCAACTGGACGACGGGTGGCCTGGAAGCATAGAAACACGTTGAGTAAATTTCCCACTTGATGAGAAATAAAGCGTAAACACGTCCATGTCCCTGCTCAAGCGTAGATCTGCAAGTTTTGATGAGCAGGCAAAGCCTCATGCTTTACAATCTCTCCTGTTAACTTCTCTTTGCATGATGCTGCGAATTGATGCTGTGCGCAAAGCTGTGCGCGGGCCGTGCGTGATTTTGTGCGTGATGCCTTGCATGATGCTGCTCATGACGCTGTGCATGATGTTTCGTATCATGCTGCGCATAATGCTCCCTTTGTGCGCGGTGCTCTGCAATGTCTCTTGATGTCTGCGTGCAGTTTGGCAACAAAAGGAGGCATCGGCGGAGGTTGTGATTTTCGAGCTGGAGCTGCGCGTACTACTGTGGCACTTAAAAGCTGCCTACTTAACAGGTACGATCTTGCAGCTGGAGCTGTGGGAGCGCCCTGTGCGTGCTATTTTTGAAACTTGAGTCGCGCTACTGAGTCGGAGCCACAGGGAAGCGCTTCGGGTACTACTCTTGTACTTAAAAAGTTGTGATTTTGGAGCCGGAGCTTAGCAGCTATTCGCGTCGAGGGCGCTTCGACACTCGCGATCTCCGCAGAGGGGTCGCAGCGACCAAGACGCGAGCGAGCTCGGCTCGATGCGCACGGCTACGCAGCGAGCTCGCGGCCAGAGCGCTTGGAGACAGGAGACGTTGGCAGGCGAAGTATCTCTCGAAAGTTGGCAAGTGAAGTAACTCTAGAAAAAGGTGTGGGGAGAAGTTGGCAGGTGAAGTAACCCTCGAAGTGTTGTCAGGAGAAGGTGGCAGGAGAAGCAACTCGAGAAACGTTGCCAGGAGAAGTTGGCTGCAGTATCTCTCGAGAAGCTGGCAGGAGACGTCGGCAGGTAAATAAGTAAGAAGCCGTTTTAGCAGAAGAACCCTTCGCGTCTTTCCGCGAAATACCGACAAAACCAAACACGCAGAGCCGACCAAGACACCATTCCTCAAACACGCTTCAAGAGGTGCCCGCCCACTGTGCCAAAAGTTATATTTTCTAGTTCTGCTTTAGGTTTTTGATTTCGGCAGGGCTGATGCGTTTGTTTTTTAGTGAAAGGATGTCCTACAGATAATTCCAGTTCAAAGTGGAATTCGAGGTGTCTAAATGCTAGCTGATTTGCAAATAATTTCTGTTGACAAGGGGTTGAATCTAACATCTAGATCAAAAATATACTTTTCAACAGGATTTGGAAAATTATTGCGTCCTAATCAAGTTCTGTTCGCATTCTAATTGAACTTTAAAATAGAGAGCGGGCCTTGATGGAGTACAGAACACGCTACAAAACACGGTTTTTCCTTGTTTTCTGACCATGGTAGTGCTGGTGCCTTGGTAAAGACACGATTTTGGAACCTCTGAAATCTTTCCTTGCGAGATTCTGCAAGAGTCCGATCGTAATTTCAATCTTGAGCTACAATGCAATAATCCTGTAAAAAACATCTACACACATCGAGTCTTTTACGCAAATCAATTAGCGTTCAACAGTTTATTCAAAACAAGCTTAGCATAAGCAAAGCGAATGCAAACACTGGATACAGACCGGCGTGGCAAGCAGATCGAAACATGCCACAGTTCCCAGTGATGATGACGACGATCACGAATCCCCAGCATCACTAGCGGTGCCTAATGAGGATGATGACGATGATGACGATGATGATGATGACGATGATGACGATGACGAGGATGATGATGATGATGATGATGATGATGATGATGATGATGATGATGATGATGATGATGATGATGATGATGATGATGATGGCGAACGATGATGATGGTCAATCGTGACGATGAGCTTCCACTTTTGCCAGGGCAAGCAGAGGTCGGTGGTTGGAAACAGATGTAGCTCATACGAGTGGCGTCACGTGGTATGCTATTTGGAACACGGCAGTGACCGGGCGACGGCGGTACCTCCTGTATCTTGCTTCTGCTTTTGCCGGTGTCGCGCAAAAACACATGGAGACACAGAAAGACACATTGAGACACATCGGTACAGAGACAGCCACTCAACAAGATACAAGGAGGGGCGTGGGCAGATGCAGCAGGAGCCACGGGCATGGGGAGATACAGGGGAGCGGGAGACAGGGAGACGCAGGTGAGACACAGAGAGATAGAGGGACGCAGCAAACCAGAAAACTGGCAACTCCTTCATTCCCTGCACTGATACCCTTCACTCACTCACTCTAATCATTCAACCATGCAGTCAGCGCGCTCCTGTTTGATTTGTGGT